CCAGTGCCAACCACTGGCTATTTGCATTGTTTTCCTGCTAAAGTTAAGTTGGTGTTTTTAATGATCGTGAGGTTTATTCTTAGAAGAATTCAGTATTTCTGAACTCAGGCAGCTCCTATGTGTCTTCACTGGTAGAACATGAACTCCTTGGTCTTTCCTCCAGTTCTAATTGTCTTTGAAGCCAGGTCAGTTGGCCCATGCCTGTAATCACAGCGCTGAGGAGGCAGCAGGAGGTTCAACAAACAGCCAGAGCAGTATATGGGGACTGTATCTCAATTAAAATCCCCAAACTAAAGTCCTCTCCTAACTGGGGCCTTGCTTTGTTTTTGTCAGTTCTCAGCGAAAAGACAGACTCCACACAGGACTGAGGTAGGCAGTGAGGACACATCAGTTGTCAGGTGTGGCGGCCTGCCTGGATGTCTGTGTGTCCCCTCATTCCTGGGCGCCTTGCCTCCGGTGTTCCCGCACGCTACAATACCTTCTTGTTGGGCTTTTGGTAACTGGAGTATTAGGGATTATCCCTCGGACAGGATGATGATGTTAAAACCTCACAGTACTTAGGGTCTTCCTGAGTAAAAATGTGAATGCACATTGCTTCTAGTAGAACATATGTAGACCAGGCTGGCCTCAAACTCACAGAGATCCTCCTGTTTCTTCCTCCCTGAGTGCTGCGATTACAGGCCTATACCATCAAGCCTGGCATTTTTTTTTTTTTTAATGGCCAGATTGCTCAGCAGTGCTGGGGAACACTTTTAATCCCAGTACTGGAGAAGCAGAGGCAGGAAGATCTCTGTATGTTCCAGGATAGCCTGGTCTATAAAGTGAGTTCCACGATAGCTGAAGATACACAGAGAAACACTGCCTAGAAAAACAAAACAAAACAAAACAAAACAAAAACTGAAAACAGCCAGAGCAAGACATTGAACATTTAGCATTAAAATTTTATGATCCCTAACTGGCAATCTCGGGAGTCTTTGTCTTAGCGAAGCATCCAGCAATGCAGGGACCTCGGGGGCTGCAATGAAGAGTATGCTATGCTGAGTTCCCTAGATCCACATAATGCATTCTTTCTCCAAACACGGGGAGCCTGGGTAACCAACAGTTCTCAGGTGCACCCCTCTTTGATGGTTGCTCTTGGCTCAGGTCACCTTCCATCCCTGCCTGCAGTGTATGCAACTGGTTGATAAGATCTGGTACCCTGCCACATTTTAGGGCAACACCGAAAGGCTACCCCAGTTCCGGAACCCATGCAGATTGGCTGAAGCTGCAGGTGCAACCATGTTACAGCTCAGTCCATCCCATATGCTCCAGTCTTCCCACAGAGTCCACTCCATGCTCTCCAGTCTGCTTTCCTTGGTTATAGATATATATGAACTCAGGACCCCTGTCAGAGCAGCCAGTACTCTTAACCTCTGAGCCATCTGTCCAGCACCCCTCCCCCTTTTTTTTGTCTGTATAGCTCTGGCTGTCCTGGGCTTGCTTTGTAGACCAGGCTAACCTCAAACTCATGGAGATCCTCCTGCCTCTGCCTCCCTGAGTGCGCCACCATGACTAGCTGGAGTTTTTTTTTTTTTTTTTTTTTAGATTTATTATTCATACAATGTTCTGACTGCATGTACATCTGGAGCCAGAAGACGGCACCAGATCTCATTATAGATGGTTGTGAGCCACTGTGTGGTTGCTGAGAATTGAATTCAGGACCTCTGGAAGAGCAGCCAGTGCTCTTAACCATCTCTCCAGCCCCCAATTTTTTTTTTTATTTTTTGTCTTTTGTTTTTTCCTAGACGGTTTCTCTATGTGCCCTTGGCTGTCCTGGACTCGCTTTCTAGACCAGACTGGCCTGGAACTCACAGAGATCCACCTGCCTCTGCCTCTCTTGAGTGCTGGGATTACAGGTTTTCACCATCATGTCTGGCTCCAGATGTTTTTAAGTTGAATACAAACCCCACCCATGATAGGCCACTAATGCTCCTATTAAGCACAAAACAGGAAAAATACATTCTAATGAGCTAATGAGGTCTGTGGATGTTCTAACCTAGGCCATCCTAACTAAAGAATACTGGATCTCGCTGCCCAATCAGCTGTGTTCACCCAAGCTGGACTTGTCTAATGGCCTGTCTTGTGTAGTAGACAAGACATTGCGGAGTTTCAATCCTTCCAGATGCTCCTTCTCGCTGTGCGTAGGCACACCTCCACTCTGATAACGACTGAAAGGGCAGCAGAAAAGGAACCAGGGCTGCACGCAGACTGAGGGCTGCTGATTAATCATCCCAGCTAAGTTAGCAGTAGGAACTTTTTCCACGTGAATTTCCTAAGACTTCTTTCATATATAATTTATTACACATTTATAACATGTATAAGGGTACTTAATGTTTCTTAGGAAAATTTTATGCAAATAATAATTGAATAATAAAGTACTTGACCTCAATTCGAGGAAGAAAAATTGTATTTCAGCAGCTAATATACTTCCTGCACCTTCAACATCTGTCATTCCTTTGAGAACGAGATCTCATGTCTTGAAAGCTAAATGTTAAAACGATGCCAGCTCCTTATTTTAGGCCTTTTAGACAAAAGAAAATATGGTAGTAAAGCTGAAGAGTCAGTGCATATGCTCCTTATTTTCAGAAGGGATTTTATTACAGAGAAAAAATTCTCTCTGCCTGAAGGATAAACAGTATAAAAATATTTTAGCTAAAAAAAGAGCCCTGGGCAGGTATTACCACAACTCTTAATTATAGCAGACATTTACTATGATAACAGAAACCAGCTTAAGGAATGTGATTTATTAACATCACGTTCAGATAGAGAGATAAAAGGAGGCTTGAAGCATCCTGGCACTGCCCTCGGCCCCAAGGAAAGACCGGCAGAACCAGCCTTCAGAGCCACCTTTCCGCCTGCCGGGAGAAGGGAGGGCTAGACTTCGCGTCTTACGATCGCCCTCCCACGCAATTTTTCCACCTCGCAGTCAAAGAATTAAACCCAGACTTCCGATCATGGCGCCAAGTACGTCACCTTCTCCCCTCTCCCCCCCAGCAAGATCCCACCCAAGTCGGCTGACCCCGGAGGGGGGTCCCCTCCCCGATCCTGGTAGCCTGAGTCAAACCAAATTGGGATTAAAATAATAATAATAAATGTTTCGATCGGTCCTAGGAAACCGCGGGGCCGCCGGGACCCTCTCCATCCGCGGAGCAGGGGGCCCGGGGGGCGACGACTGTGCCCCGCAGCCCTCCTCGCCCAGGCCCCGCAGGGCCCCTCCGGCTCGCCGCCTTTGTGCGGGAAGGCCTCCCCGGGAGCCCCGGGGACGGCTGCCGAGGAGAGCCCGACCGGGGCGAGCGCACACGCGCCAGCCCCGCGGCCGGCCGAGGCTTTTGTCTGCGCCGCGAGGGGAGGGCAGGCCGCCGCGGCCCGGATCTCGGCCTCTGGGGGGGAAACCGAGGAGCCGCCGCCGCCGCCGCCTCCGCCCACCTCCCACGGTCGCCTTCGCTAAAACAAAAAGACGCGGCCGCGCTCCCGATCGCCCGGAGCGCCGCACCGTCCGCGTGCGGGGGGCAGGCGCGTGCGGGGACACGGCCCCGGGCGGCCCCACCGCGGCCCCTCCCCGCCCGGGCGGCCCCGGCCCCGGACGCCGCGCGAGGGCCCGGCCTGGGAGCTAGATCGGAAGAGCACCCGTCTGACCTCCAGT